GTGCCACAAATGATCCTCTGAGCTTGAGCTAAAAAGACACCCATTCGGTTTGAGCTCAATATCAGATCAGTGACTGTGCGGGATGCAATGATGGAGGCAAGAACTGAAGTTGAAATTGGATGGTACCACTGGTCAATAAAAATCAGGTGTACACAACGAAAACACTCACTAAACTTACTATTACTAAACCAATGCCAGTCAATAATGTGCGGTTTCGACTCCAAGTTCGCTCAACCAGGCTCAAGCAGCAAACCCAAACAAAACAAGCAGAAACTTAACATTTGGCAAGAAACTGTCCGCGGCCAGCTGCTTGTGCGTAGACATCCAGCGAGCTGACGTCTCATCATCTGTCTGCTTGGTCTTTGATTTGAGCTTCTTTGCCTGAAGTCGCTGCAGCTCAGCTGTCACGCGCGCATCGTCTGAAGGATAGAGCAACTCCGCCTGTCAGAGATGATGTGATCATGGCTCACTGACTGGGACTGTATTTGCATGCATGCGAATCAAGCGAACTTGCTTTTTGTTTCTGCTGTTTCTGGCTTCTGCCTTTGTTCCAAAACGATTTGACTTGACTTTGACCAATCATCCGTCAGTTACTAGCTGTTGTTTTCCATCAGATTTCACTTGGCCCTGGCCCGTCTTCAGTCTCCGACAAGGGGCTGGAGTGAACCGCAAAGGGCACTGCATGGCTTCGAGCAAGCCCTCAAGGTTCTCCAGTACTTTGTTCCCATTCATCCTCTCAACTTGCCTCACGCCGAAAAAGTACAGCCTGCAACGCCGCTGCGGCAGCCCAAAGGAGTCTGACCGCAGCTTTGCTGTCTTGACTGTGTATCCGCATTTTTGCAGCCTGGCCAACACCAGGCCGAGGTTCGACCTGCAGTCTGGACCAAATTGGAATCTGAAACCAACCAAGCCGCAATCGATGAGATGAAACGGCAAGTTAACTTCCATCCTGATGCCTGAAGAAGAAAACATACATCATACAGAATCATACATGTGTCATACATCGTAGTCAGTCAGTCAATCAGTGTTTTAAAGGTCTTGGGCTCTTGGGCCTTGGGTCTTGGGTCTTGAGTCTTGAGTCAAGTCTTGAGTCTTAAGTCTTAAGTCTTAAGAGTCTATAAGTAGTCTTAGTCTTAACTGCTAGTTGGGTGGGTCAGTAAAGTGACAAGTGTTTTTTTTAGTTGGTTGAAGGTGGTTGCATCAAACTTGAAGCTCGGAAACTTGAATACCGAGAGAACTGACAGGAAATAATGATTCCAAAATTCATCACCCTATGTCGGCCCTATGTCCTATGCGCAGGGTTCACACTGACCCAGTAGCTACCGGACTCTCAAGTTTCAAAAACATGCGTTCAAATTCCAATTCAAAGTGCCAACTGCTGGATCTTGAAAGTTCAAGGGGCTGATCTTTGCCATCTTGGTTTTTGCTGCTCCCGGTTTTGCTCGGCTCCATGTCAACGTTTTCCAAGATGAATGCAGCTGGCTTCTGCTCCTCCAGCACCTTGGAGACTCCGTCAAAGGTCTTGACCGAGCTGCAATCCTCATGGCAAAGTGGCGAGAAAAGAGGGTAGTAGAAGTTAGTCAGACTTCGGCAGTTCGAAGAAGAATGTGCAGTACAGCAGTGGCAACACGAATTCCATCTGACAAACAGACTGACAACTCTGAGAAACCTTTGATTTTTTTTAAATCGAATATATCGTGCTGCAGTGAAATGCTGCAGAAAACTAATTCAGTCGGAAATCAAATATGAAATCTCCTAAATATGTTACCCAGAAATTATTTGAAATGCCAAAAACTTCAATGATCTCTCAGACATGAGTTCAATGCGGGATCACATCACAACATGACAACATGTCAATGTTAACCGAATCAACTGTTTGCTGTTTGCAATAGTGTCCAGTGCGCAAGACTGCGTTCCACTTTGGTGTTCCCCCAGCCTTGTTGTCGGCCATCGCTGATTTCAATTCCTTGTAGTTGATATTCATCCGAGAATATGACCTCCAGTCGCATTGGCACTGCGTGCAAGGCAAGAATGGAAATTTCAAGTCAAGTCAAAATTACATTAACTTTGTTTCGATTCGATTCAAAGTTCAAAGCCTGAGAACTCTCAGTTGTTCGAAATGATGCGTCCACACAAAGACCATGGACCGAACCATGACCAATGAAAAAAATCCTTGACAAAGTTGCATTAACTGTGTTTCGATTCAAAGTTCAAAGTCTGAGAACTCTCAGATTTCAAAGTTGTTCGAAATGATGCGTCCACACCAAGACCATGGACCGAACCATGACCAATGAACACAAGTCGCTGCAAGCTGCAAGCAAAAAAAAATGAGGCCGTGGCTTACACGAGAAGCCTGCGCAAAAAATAGATAGGGTGAAGGCTATGTCATCATCAGGTCCACACTTGGGCATGTCCTCACAAATCGCGCGAAGCAAACACAACAAACATATGCTATATTCTGCCATCTCACTCAGGCATGTTCAAACACTCAGAGACTACATGGTGGAGATCCGAACAATTGAAAAGTTGTACATTGAGTCAGTGAGTGTAAAAGTGGATTGATAACAAGTCTGGTGTCTTTCTTTCAGTGACTTTAGTGACTCAGTGACTCTAAAATTCTGATTTCCAGACTCCTAAGTGACCAGTGGCTCACAAAGTCAAGGGGCACACGACCGTTCATGGACGCAGCAAAATCGCTGATCTCCATGCATCTTTGTGATGTCCTTGAACAAGCACGCCTTGGCAAGGTCAGGCGTCAAGCCCCGGCCACCAAGAAACAACAAAGTCAAGTGAAACAGAAAATGACTGATCACTGATCACTGATCACTGATCATTTTATACCACTTGCAAAACAAAACTACTCACGTGTTTCATATCACTGATAACTGATAACAAAACCTTCCTGCTTTCCTTACTCAACAATACAATACAACAAAGGACATGGCACGACAGTTGTGGCAGCTGGAAACCTAAACCGACACCCAATCCGAAACTCCATCGGCCTGCTTGGGAAGCACATGATCCATGAGGAATTTCTGCTTGTTTGCCACGTTCTCGCAGGAGAACAAAGTCGAAACCTGGCGACTCCATGATTTGGAGGGGGTCGGCAAGAAGTCTTGAAGAAAGTGGAGCCGAAACAACTGGCTCAACCCACCTGAATTTCCTCTTCGCCACAATGTGCCAATCGTGAATTTATCTCCTCCACTGCCCTCTGGAGGCAGAGCTCAAACATACCTGTTCCGCTACAAGCGCTCATGATCCTGATCCGCTTCGGAAGCCCCCTCCACCAGCGCGTAGTTTCCTCATCACCAAACTTGGACTCCAGGGCAAGTAGTTGCTCCTCACAAACAGCTTGGTCAAAGCATGGACGGATGATTTATATTAACTATCACTGACTGACTGTATATCAGTAACAGTAACAGTAACAGTAACAGTAACAGTGTGTAATATATATATATATTATAATATTATATAATAATATTATATATATAATATAATATAATATTATAATTATTATATATATTATATATATGTGCTATATACAGTGATTAAAATGATGAGAGAAAAGGAGAAGGCTTGCCTCTCCACAATGAGAGAAAAGGAGAAGGCTTGCCTCTCCACTTGTCTTGCCATGTCCTAAAAAGGACAAAAGTTTACCGTAAAAAACCGTAAAAAAACGTAAAACCCGTTAAAAACTTAAAACTTTCGCGAACTCAGAACTCCATGTTTATCTTTCGCGGGGCCCACATTGGCCAACAACACCTCTTATGAAGATTCATTCACCACCACCTGCCAAATTACGCCAAAGAATCACGGATCACTTCTTGGTAGCCTTTTAAAAACATGCAGCTAGCATCACGGAATCCCTTCTCAGGACAGATTTTTTTTGCAAAGTTTACTGGCCCACCCCCTTCAACATGCACTTTGACTTCCGCCCGCTCTTTCGCATAACTTTCGCGGAACTTTCGCGAAAATATCCCTATTCACAGACCCCGGCCATCAGCAGGGGGTGCACTGAAGGAAAAGCGAAGACCAGGGGCCTTGGTGTTTGGCTCTCGCAAAGCCTCACTTTTGGAAACTTGGCTACTGCTACTCGCATTCTCTGGTGCCCTTCTCCTGCCGGACCCCGGGCGGCAGTGGGTGGCAGCCCTTTACATATGATTCATATATTCATATGATTATAATACCCAACTTTCGCTCGCGAAATAAAATTTTACTTTCGCGAACTCGAAAAAAAAAACTTCCGCGAGGGTTTCCAACATAACATGCACGGCTTTCGCAATTAAAACTCCTTACAAGGACCTTTAGATCGATCACCATATATGGATATGACAGGGGAATGGCTGGTATCAAGTTGGAAGGGCAAGGATCACAAGAATCAAGAGCCAACGCAGTCTCATGTTTCTAGTAGAAGTGATTGTTTTACAGTTTTTACAGTTACAGTTTTTCAAGTTTTTTAGTTTTTTGCACAAAAATGTCGGACGGATGCGTAATTGGAGCCTCAGAGCTAAGTGAGACAGTAGCTCTGTACAGTTCAGTTGCAGTTGCAGTTGGTTTAGTCGGTCTTCAGCTACGTCACCCTGCCTTGGCCATTGCCTTCAAATTGAACCATGGCCCACGGCCTGAACAGCAAACATCGTGACAGCGAGTAAACAAAAACAAAACCCAGCCCGGAGAAACTCACTCTCACATTGGCAGAACAACTTTCAACCAAGTTTCAAGTTTCAATGTTTCAACTTCAACTTTCAACTTACTTAGATGACTAGACTTACTTGAAAGTTGAAAGTTTGGAAGTCGTGAAACGCTTCGGGTTTGAGTCGGCTTGAGGGATTCTGCAAGGAAACACAATCGGGACTTGGAACACATTGAACACAACTTGATTAGCCCTAGCCTTAGTCACAAAACGACAGTAGTGCTGACTACAGTGTATGACCATATAGTGACAACAACTACAGTGGCTTGCGACTACACCAAAATGCAACTACAATTCAAGTGACTCTTCAATGGATTGTGAAAATTGAAAGCAAGGCAGCAGCGAAATGGCCTTCGCTTTTGTCAAATTCCATCTTGCTCATCTCGCTTTCAATCAAAGCTGTGATCGATTCAGCATCACTCCCGGAACCAGCTTCAGCTTCGTGATCCTCGTCGCTGTCGTCGCCCTTCTCACGTTGCTCCTTTTCCCACAGCCACGCCATGAACCCGCTCAATGGGACAGAAGCGTTGCTGCCAAACCCACCCTTGTATCGTCCACCCTCAAAAGAAAGTTCCTGCAAGCCCCTCTCTTTCAAACTGGCGTTGTATTCATGCAAGTCTGGGTGCATGTCAGCCCACTCCAACTCTTTTCTTCTTGACTCATCCGTCATCTCCAGAAGCTCTTGCAAAATTCTCTCCCTGTAGCACTCGGCAATGTCCACGAAATCTCCAACTGCTGCAGACTGAGCCTCTTCCGGCGGAGGGTCCATCGTGGCATCCTCTGCTCCTTGTTGCTGCAAAGCCAAAGAGTCCCCAGCATCATCCTGTTTTGGTGATGCATTGGCCACACTTCCGCCTTTTCCTGCCATGGGTTCACGTGGGGCCAAGGAGGCCGGATCGTCATCTTTTTTCTCAACTGTTGCTGTTTGTGCTTCCTCTCCTGCGTTCTTTCTGTCTGGCAAGGCTGCAGGCTGAGCCTCTTCCGGCGGAGGGTCCATTGTGACATCCTCTTCTCCTTGTTGCTGCAAAGCCGAAGAGTCCCCAGCATCACCATGTTTTGACGATTCATTGGCCACACTTCCTCCACTTGGCGGCAAAGCTGAAGAAGAAAGGGAAGGAAGGTCACCACCCTGATCCTGACGCTGACCATCATCTGCACCTTCACAGCTGAAGAAAGAGCATCATCTTTTTCTGCCGTGGGTTCAAGTGGGGCCGAGGAGGCCGGATCTTCATCTTTTTTCTCAACTGTTGCTGCTTGTGCTTCCTCTCCTGCGTTCTTTGCCTCTGCCAAGGCTGCAGACTGAGTCTCTTCCAGTAACGGATTCTTTGACTTGCCTTCTTGCGGTGGGCTAGAAGGCTTGACCTCAGGTTTGACATCTGGACATTTCTCATTGCTGCCCTTCGACGGTTCGGTAGCGGCAACTGCAGCCCTAACCTCATCATTGTTCCCAAGCTCAGCGCCAACAGCACCAAGAGCGGTAGATGAAGACTTTGAGATTGTTCCTTCCGCTCCGGTATCCACTTCAAGTCCTGTGCTCTGGTGCTCTTGATTGGCCTTGTCCAACTGAGCCCTAACCAAATCCTCAATAACTGCCTTCTCAGCCGTCTGTGCAGCTGATTCCAAACAAAGCCGCTTATGTGGCTCCAAGTGACCCTCATCACTTGCGCCGGCGGCCAAAGCCTGGCCAAAACTATCTTTGGAGCCTTCTGCAAATTCTTTTCTCTTTGCAGGTGGAACTGCCTGATGAGGTGCACTGCCACTAGCTTCTTTGGAAGCTGTGTCACCAAATTCTGGCACCACTGGCAAGACTTTCAAAGATGCCTGGTCTTGCCGCGAATTGGTCTTTGGCGCGGTCTTTGCAGCGGGCGCTTTTTGCTTTGCAGCAGCACCCTTGGCAAAAGCTTTTGCCAGCGGCTGCCCATCCTTCTGAGCAGGCTTTCTGCCCATTGCGGCAGGAAAAAATGAAATCGGATGAATCCCGGATGAAGGTGAAATGGTGAAATGGTCAAGTGAAATAGTGAAATAATGAAGCAATGAAACATCATTTGACATTTGAAACTGTCTATAAAATTTCTCAGTTCGGGTCAGGTATGGGTTACGGAAGTTACGGTGTTGCAGTCACGTCTAAGATGGCTGAGTTCCGTTGTTTTGGAATGTGGATCCATCGCGCTGTCGCACTGAAATGCTTGACGGATCAAGTCTATTGTTGTAAAGTTGTAAATTTCTCTTCGTGTTCCGGCGAGACCCTCTGAGCCACGAGCGTCATGAGAGTCAAGATAGAACAGATCTCAAAAAACAGCAACACAACTCACTCAAAGACTACCTTAAATATAGTTGGTCAGCTGGTGGCAGTTACAGCGATCATACTGGCAATGGCAGTGACAGATGACAAAGGGCTTGAAATCTGAATGCAATAAGTTTCATGTTGAGCCTCTTGAGCCGAACTAGTCAGTGTGTTACTCAGTTCGTTCTTCACGTTCAGCTGCTCACTTGTTGCGCATTCTGCGACATATGCATAAATCATCAAAACCGGTTTGGTCAATGGTTGGTCCAAAAAACCATGCCAGGAATCAGGAATCAGGAATCTAGATTCCAGGAACCAAGAACCAGGAAACGGCCGACAAATTTTCAGCTGCTGATATTCCGGTGACTGCAACGTCAGCAAACCAACCCCCCTAGCTGGTTGCAAGTTCTCAGCGACGTGGCGACGTGTGAAAAGCCCTGTGTGGCCCACAGTATTGACAGGCGCTGACTATAGCAGTGGTTTGAAAAAAAAATGAAATAATGAAATGCACACGTTCACGTTCACATGGTGTCACGTGATGGACACATCATCTTTTGGAACTGAGCAATGTTTCCCATTGCCTGCGCCTGTTGGGTGCTTCCAACTTCACCCATGAACAGATGTTCATGTTGCTCACAGGGCCACACGAAGGATAAAGAAGCAAATATCCGCAGATTTTTTTCAGAAACTGATAGCATGTTCCCGTGTGCTGGGTCATGACTCTAGAGCCAGCCGGATCCTTGGCCTGGTCGATCCTTTCATCGCACATCGCTTCGCTTTTGCAAAGTTGAAACTTGAAACTTGCAACTTGAAACTGATAACCAGTCAATCAAGTCAAGTCAATTTAGTTTTGCATCATATTCATCATATCAT